GTTTTGTACTCAAAAGAGAATCAGAATAATGGGAAAACAGAATTGTGCGGATCCTGCCATTAGCACCACAAAGCCATTCTGTCAACCTTCCCAGAAATCTACATCACTCCTTGTGAGCAGTTTTTGGCATTTTCCCTTGCAGGGTGAATTATAGAGACACTTACACCTAAACTTAAACAGATCAAGTGAAAATTACAATCCCTAGAGACTTTATCTTGTGTAGTAAATGTCACTGCTTATAATTCGGAGTGCAGGTGTAGTTACTTCTATGTTAACATTAATAAATGTTAATAATATAATACACTGGGGCTCTTGGACTTCTTCACAGTTGTAACACAATATGTAATAATACAATACTGAAATCACTTTCAGTACCTATAGGTTCATATAAGGTGCTTTACTTTGGTGCTAGTAGAACAAATTTGAATATATTACATATAATATTGATTCATAATATATTTCAAATTAAAAATCAGTGGAACATCCATAATAATAAAATGATGATGTGAGATTTTACACAAGAAATGAATAGATAGGAGTTTATAGAGAGTTGATGTGGGCTCACTCAGGACAACAATGGCACTTATTAAGATTTGGCCAAAATGCCTTAATGTCTCTGAGGTTGTGGGGACTTTATTTTTTTTTTTTTGAGGCAATAAGGGTTAAGTGACTTGCCTAGGGCCACATAGCTAGTAAGTATCAAGTGTCTGAGGTCATATTTGAACTCAGGTCCTGACTCCAGGGCCTAAGATAACAATATCTTAAAAAATATAGGCACCTAGAATAGGTATTATTTAAAGAGGCTAAATTCTTTAGGCTGAAATATATTATTTTTTCCAAACTAGGGGCACTTTTCCCTTTTGTGATTTGATTCTAAGTTCAAAGGACTTCATACTTTTTTATTTTTATTTTTGTAGATTTTCTTTGATCTTTTTCGGGGTACAGACTGAGGAGTGATATCATTGGATCAAAGGATAAGGGTAAGCACACTTTAATAGCTTTTGGGGCACAGTTCTAAAATGCTTTCCAGAATGGCTAAACCAGTTCACAAGTGCCACCAACAGTGCATTAATGTACCTATTTTTCCATAGACCCTTCACCTTTTTTCATTTTTATTTTTTTGAACTTTGACAATCTGATGGTTGTGAGGTGGTAGTTGAGAGTTTTTAAAATTTGTACTGTATTGTTTTAATTTGTATTAGTGAACTGATCTTTAAAATTGTATTTATATTAGTGTATTACAATTTGTATTAGTGAATTGAATTTTAGAATATTTCAAAGGGCTTTAAATTCTCCTATCTCATTGTTTGATATAAGAATTTAACTTTCAAATATTAGTACAGGCTCAGGTCAATTTAACATTAAGGCTTGTGTTTCAAACACATTTAAACATCACCCTTTATATATCTTTAGGTCACAAAATACAATACTTTCCTCTCTTTAGGGAAAGTTTAACTCAAAGGACACATTCAAATCATTGTTTCAGCAAAATGGGGGGGATGGGGAATGAAGGGCATTATCTTACTTCTTGAACATAGCAAAATAACTGGAGGTTATTGCTTTTTTAAAAAAAATAAGTTTTGTAACACAATTAAAAAAACATATGTTCTATACTGAACAAAAAAAAAAGTTCTTCCCAGAGGAAAAGTAACAAATAAATAAATGTGTATTACCTGTGAGGTAAACAGAGATACTAGTTTCTACCTCTGTGATAGTAACATGTCAAAAAAAGAATGTCAGATTAAGTACAATTTCATTTTTTTTTATTATCCAATTTAGCAATCCATGGTAAAATCATCATTAAATCCATTAGATATAAAAACCTTTAAATATTGTACATATTTTGTGAACCTGATTCCAGCGTTTAGTACAGTGCCTAGCACATAGTAGACAGTTAGTATTTTCTCCTCATGGTTGAAGTCTCATCTATGCAACAATTCTTGCTTCTTTTTATTTTTCAAGGCAATAATATCACAGAAGAGGAAAGGAAGACAGAACTCTCTCCTCCATTCTTTGTTTTATACTCATTTTCACCTTGGGGGACTAATTTAGAATGAAAAACAATATTAAAATTTTCTCAGATTGATTTTTAAAAACCTGGATATTTTTAAAAAATCTAGATATTACTGAAAACATTTCATTCCTAAAATTAACTGCAACTAAACTAATTTCTTTACATGGCGATATAAAAATTGTCCAAGGATTTGATAGGTATCGCTGCCAATCATGAACATGCAGAAACATAAAAAAAAAAACCCCAGTTTACTGTGTTCAAAGCATAAACTCTTATTATACAAAAACCAGTGGGACCTGAGCACCTGTTTCAGCAACCTTATATAGGTTTTAGGTACATAGGCAGGACCAGCACAATTAAATTTTACAGAATGCAGAAAGGGAAGGTAAAGATTTACACATCAAAGAACAATGGCAGAAGGGGAATATCTTTATTAGATTAAATAATAAACTAGCCTCTAAACCCCTGTGATAACAGCTGGAATTTGCAGACAAATCATTAATGCAAGTCATAGCAACTCATGTGACATGCTTTTCTCAAGTAAACAGAGGTAATAAAACCTAGTCAGAAAATCTCATATCACTAACCAGGTTATCATGGGAGCTACAGCCTGATGTCCCAGCTTGATTTTGCAGATCCTAGCTAATTGTAAGACTGCTTGTCTCAAGCCGATGGTAGTGATAAAGCTAAGACAGAAAAAATCTCTCATGACAATAGAAGACATATAAGGAGCTCAAGGCCATAATATTGGGAGGCAGAGGTTTTTCCCCCTACTCCAGGTGGGAAGGCTCAGCTGAGAACAAAACCCCAGGACATATGAGGAGGGAGAGGAATACACCAAACAGTACACCCATTCCTTCAAAAGAATCTGCAACATCTTTCAATAGCTCTCTAGCTCTGGGGACAGATACATAAAGCTAATGAAGCAGATCAGCCTTTCCACAACAGTTAATAGAAGCAATAAAACAGATTCTCTTGTGACTTCCTAAACTCTTGCTGCCACAAAAAAAGACCAAAGTCAATTGGACTTGGAATAGAAACGTAATAATAGCAATCAAGGTTTTTACTAAGGCTCAAAACAGAAACAGTGCAAGCCCATGTCTTGGTGAGAAGTCCATGGACTACCCCTACGAAGACATAAAGATCAAATGATACATTTGCAAAAAACCCTTAGCACTGAGCCTGGCACATAGTAGGGACTATATAAATGCTTATTTCCTTCCCTTCTTCCTCCATTTAAAAGTAATCTCTTATCTTAAATCTGATAGCAGGAAAGGGAAAGCAGGGAATAGAAGCAGATTCTCATCTCTTAGGGTTCAGGACAACAACTTCTGAAGCAAGAAAACTTAAAATATATATTAGTAAAACATTTATTCTATATAGTTATGAGCATAGGCAGGGAGAATCCACTTGCTCCATATGATTGTGCAAAGTACACTTTTTACAGATTTGTATTAATTGTACAAAAGTGGATTTTGGAGTTCTTTTTGCCATAATTTCATGTATGGGAAACATCAACTGGGCTAGTCTTACTGGAATGTAGGAGTTCAAATTTGGCCTCAGACACTAGCTGTGTGACCCTAGGCAAGTCATTTAACCCTGTTTGCCTCAATTTTCTCATCTGTAAAATAAGCTACGGAAAGAAATGGCCAACTATTCCAATAGTTTTATGAAGAAAAACTTAAAACGGAGTCATGAAGAGTCGGATGTTGAGGTTTAGGGGTGTTAGGCCCCCAAAATCACAACATGGGGGTCCTGTCTGAAAGAATTCGACCCAAGCCTTCTTTCAGCCAAAGATAAGGTTTATTAGAACATCCGTCATATTGGGCAGATTCTTAAGGAGTCTGAACATTAGTGAGCTATTGGCTAGATTTTAAGAATCTGAGGAGTGGCTAAATTGCAAGAATCTGAGCAGTAGCTAGATTTTAAGACTCTAAGCGCCATAATGGAGACAAGATGGACCTTATATACAGAAAGCCTTGGGGGGGGACTAGGAGAGCCAAGTAGTCTTTGAGGTAATAGAATTCCAGGGACCTGGACCACTTGGCAGAGGGAGAATGGAGCCTAGATAGGATTAAGGGTGGGAAGTGGCCTGGGGCCATAAGGAGGTAAGACAATGGAGGGCTAGGCTAGGCTAAGAGTAACAGAATTGGGAGACTGGGTGTAGCCACAATCAAAGGCCAGTTGATGGGATTATAGCCTTAGGGGACCGCCAGAGATTTGGCCATGTGGGAAAGCCTAGATCCCATCCTCATCAGGACATGACTGAAACGACTGACCAAAAAAGGCACATGAGGAAGAGTAATGCAAAAGGCCAGTAAGGTTGGAGCCGAATTGCAAGGGATTTTAGAAACAGAGGAATTTGTGGGTTGTTTTATTTTTCTGTAAAGACAACTGGGTGCTGTCGAAGTGCTTTGAACAGGACAAAGACTTCGTGGGCAACTGAAGCTGAGAAGAGACAGTATGGTACGGCCCGCCCTGAAGCTTTAAATGTTTCTTTTGACCTTACTGCTGGGTGCAGCTTATGTAGTCCAAGTTAGTGGTTTTATTCTCTTCGCGTTCCTTAGATTTTTATCCCGCTTGAAGTACCATAGTTGAAAGCTGCAAAAACAGTTCGTATAAGTGTACACCTCCCACGTGCTTGAGGAAGAGTTCAGAGGTCACGTGGCGGCATCTAACGGCGGTAGAATCCTTACGCCCCAGGCTGCCGCAGCACCGTCAAAGACAAGGCTGAAGCTGGGAAGACCCTTAAGGACTCTCCTTCCCCTAGCCTGGCCCCTCTATCCTATCCTCTTTGGCTTCCTCCTGCTTGGTAGCTCCCTCGAGGCCTACAAAGAACCGCAAATGGCAGCCAAACCGAGTCCCAAAAAATCTGCGGGACAAACCGTAGGAAAGAGGAAGTGGACGTGACACAGGCGCGCATGCGCGACGGGCTACGTTCCGCGTGTTGCGTGCGCGACGTGTGCGCGCGCCGGAGGAGACTCCCGGCTGTGGCTTGCGTCACTCGGCCGGCGCCCTCCCGGAAGCCTTCCCGCTTTCCACTTGCCCGGGGCGGTGGAGGCCTCGGTGGTTTGTCCTTCTCCGAGGCTCTAGTTGAGATTGGCCCACCCTGATGGAGGAGGCAGTGCGCGCGGTGGCTGCCCCGGACCCCAGCAGCTCCGGCTCCACGGTGAAGGAAGAGGGGGAGACTGCGACGGCCCCGGCGGCCCCTATGGGGATGTGAGAAGTCGCAGGTGACTCAGGCGGGGGCCGGGGCCGGGTCAGGGTCAGGGTCAGTGGTCTCCGGCCCTGCTGGCTTCTCCTGTTTCTGCTTTTCTTCAGTCTGAATGGGTCTGGCAGCACTCGACCTGTAGCTTGTCTACTGGTTCAAGGGGTGGATGCGGGGTCCTTCCTGCAAACTCTGGTGGGGAGAAAGGAACGTCTCTGCTTCATTATGGGAAAGAAAAGGGTTTGATAGCTTACATAGGTTCATGTAGAGTATGTACCATACATACATATAGGGAAGTAAAGTTTGACAGATAACTTGTATGTATGCCTACATGCCCTACATGTATGTGTTACTAGACACTTTATAAAATATACGTTACTTATCAAACTAAATGTATCTCATACGACTACTGTTATCTACAACCACATATACTATCTATACATATATGTATGTAAACAAAACTATAACGTTTGCAAAGTGCTTTTCATAAGTTACATTATTTGATTCTCAACCTTGTGAGGTAGGTGTAGTTATTCTCTTATCTTACAGGTGAAATCAATTGATTTACAGGTAGTAAGCTCTTACTGTGTTCTGGCCCTTGGCTAGGCAATGGGGATACAAATAACAAAGAATGAAACCATTCGTACTCACTAGGCACTTACATTCTAATGGATGAGACAAGTACAAATAAAAATGTATATAGAATAAATATAAAGCATATACACGATACTTAAAATTAAGGTAATTTGGGAGTGTGGAGTGAGTAGTTGAGGGAACAGGAAAGGCTTCCTTTTTTGGGGGGGGTGAGGCAATTGGAATTAAGTGACTTGCCCAGGGTCACACAGCTCAGGAAAGGCTTCTTGCAGAAGACAGTTGTCTAAGTGAAGAGGACTCTGAAGTGGAAGTAAAGAGGAAGTGCTTTCTAGGTGGACTGACACTGAGTGACTTTTTCAAGTCTTATTCAGGTCTTCTTGACTCCAAGTCCAGCACTCTGCCCCCTGTGCCACTGTATTCCGAAGCATGCAGGGAGCACCTCCATCAGAACTTCAGCAATTCATTTTAATTCAGACACCTTTCAGGTGCAGAGCACTGTACTAGACTTAAAACGGCACAGCCCCTGCTTACATGTACCTTACAGTCTTGGAGCTGAGAGACAGAAAGTGTTTTGTTTTTTTCCCTTTTTGTGGGGAAGGGGAATTGGGTTTCATGAGGTTAAGTAACCCACCCAGGGTTACACAACCAGTCTGTATACGGCTTTTCTGTAATATATAACGTATGATAAGTGTATAATTTAGCAACTGTAGAATCCAGGAAAGTTTAATGGTAAGATGGTGTCTGAGTGAGACATTAAAGTAGATGTTCAGCTGGTAAAGGGAAGAAAGGGCTTTCCAAGCAAAGAAACGAATCTAACAAAGCCTTTGTGGTGGAGAAACCATGCTTCTTGGGCAGAAGGAAGGAAGTATGTAAAGGTAGGGCAGGGAGCAGTTTGGGATTGAGAGATCATAGATTTGGAGCTGGAATGGACTTGAGTCTGTTGTGTTCAACCTCATCATTTTGGGAATGTGAGAACTGAAATCTAGGGAAGCATCTAAAGTCTTCTGACTGGTGTCAGTGTTCTTTCCCCTGTACTACTCAGCCTCCCTGGAAGCAAAGAATTTGTAGAGGGGAATAATATAAAATAAGGTTGTGGAGATAAGATGGTACCATTTAAAGCCTTTTGTGGGTGACTTTGAATGCTTGGAAATTTGAATTTTATTTAGTAGACTGGAGGGAGCCACTAAAGATGTTTGAGTAGAAAGAAGCTATGTAGAGGGAAAATAAGTCTGGCAATACTATGAAGGATTGAGATTGAAAGAAGGGAGTGTTCAAGTGTAGAGGTACAGATAAAATGACTCTTACAGACCAATGGTGTCAAACTTAAATAAAAATGGGGCCACTAAACCAAACATAAGGATCCCTGTGTTTCATGTTGACTTAGAAAATCATATATTATCAATGTTCCATTGTATATTTCTTTATTTTGAAATATTTCCCAATTACATTTTGATTTGGTTCTGGCCACACTAGGGAAAGTTGCTGCACCATGCTTGACACTTCTGCTGCAGACCAATTAGGTGTCAATAAAGATATGAGGTCAATGGAAAGGGGAGGAGCAGATGTGAAAGAGGTCACAGTAATACCTGGTAAGTTGATGAATATGAAAGATGCGTTTGAGCCACAATATTCTATCTAGCTCCCCTGTCCATAATCATTAGGGTACTACAAACAAAATAGGAAAAAACCAATAGGTTTTTAAAAGTAGGAGTGGCATCCTAATAACTATTATTAATAATAGCAGCTAACATTTTTATAACACTTAACTCTGTGCCAGGCACTGTGCTAAGCGCTTAAGTTGAGATATTACCCAAAAAAAATGAATTTTAGGATTTAGCTTATGAAAAGAAGCATGGTATAGTGGATGGAAACTTGGCCTTGCAATCAGGAGCACCAGACTTAAAGGTCTGCCTCTGACACATACTGGCTATATGCAACTCCTACTTTTAAAAATCTCTAGTAGCTCAATATTTCCTAAAAAGTAAACTTTAGACCCCCTTTTCTGGCATTCTAGCCACTCCACAGTTATAATTTAAACCACTTGAGAGAAAGGTTTGTTTCATTCTTTTTATTTTTACCTCAGTGCTTTGCATGGTGCTTGGCACTCTAGTGCCTGACACATAATAGTCATTGATTGACACTTCCTTGTCTTTCCACCTTTACTTCATCTTACCCTCCAAACACTGTAGGTTTTGGCCAAATAGTATCACTCTTTATGTATATTATTTCATATATTGCATATTATATAATTCATTTATAAGTGCTTTCTAGTTTATAAACCACTTACCTCACCATGACTGTCTTCTCAGCACAAGTTTTACTTGAAATTGGACATATGAGACATTCAGTGACTTCCCTATGGTCACACAGTTATGGATAAGTGGAAGAAACTGATCTTTTGATTCCAAGTTCCGGTGTTGTTTTCATTACATTGTGTTTTATCCATAAGAAAAACATTCAGTATTTATGTACATCATATTAATATTTAGTCATAGGCATTGTGATATGGGGGATAAAGAGCTGGTCTCAAGTCAGAAGGATCTGCCTCTGATAAGAAACTGGCTATGTGATTCTGGGCAAATCGCTTTGCATTAGTAGAAGGCATTTTCTTATTAGGAATTCTCTCCACTAATAAAATCAAAGATCCAGTCAAAAATAATTAGGAAATTTTAAGAAATCCCCAGTTCTTAAAAATTAAAACAATTCCCTTTACTTTTTTCTGGTTTTACTATTTCATTTATTAGACTGCTGATAATTGTGTTTTCTTCAGACCAATTTGTATTTTTCTTGGAGGCTTTGGATGAGGGAGCTTTGACTTTGTTATTATCTTCTGAGAGTGTGTTTTGATCTTCCTTTTCACCATAGTAACTTTCTGTAGTCAGAGTTTTTTTTGTTTTGTTTTTGTTTTTTTTGTTTGCTCATTTTCCCAGTCTATTACTTGACTTTTAACTCTTTTAAAGGAGGGCTTATTCCAGGGTGGAGGGTGCACTGTCCCAAGCTTCAGGGATTTGTGCAGCTGTTTTCAGAGATACTTCTAGGGACCTGTAAGTTTTCAGTTCTTCCATGGTGGTATGATCTAAAGAGAGGTGTTTACTACTTTCTGGCCTGTGCTCTGGTCTGTGAGTGACCACAAGCACTCTTTTCTGCCCTGGAACTTTGAGGAGGGTTCCATGTCCACAAACTCTCCTATGCTAGTGCTCCTCCTTTCCCTGGGACTGCCACCCAGGACTGTGACCAGGATCCCAGTATGGGCAAAGCAAGAGTCCTGCCTCAGTGCTAGCAAAAAGACCCCTGTAGTCTCCTTCTGACCAGTTGTTCGATCCCTTTATTATCTGTGGGCTGAGAGCTCTGGAAACAGCAGCTACCACTGCTGCTGATTCAGTCACTCCCAAGACCTGCTCCTCGTTTGCTGTGGCTGGGACTGTGCTGGCTCAGCCTGTGCTTCTCTCTCACCCTGGTGCAACCGATCTTTCCTGCCAGCCTTCCAAGTTGTCTTGGTCTGGAAAATTGTTCCACTCCGTCTTCTTGTGAATTCTGCTACTCTGTCAGGAGGGATTTGTTTAGCATCATTTTTTTAAAAGGTATTTGGGGGAGAGCTCAGACAAGTCCCCAGCCTGGCTCTGCCTCCCCCCAGACTATTTAAATTTCCTTTTCACCGGTCACTGTGATTGTCACTAGCCAGTTGCATGACATTTGGCTCAAACCCTAATTCCTAGTGCATTTTTGGAGCTCCTAAACCAGATAGCCACCTTCTCACCATCAACCTAATCTTCTGCTACTCTGGACCAGAGACCATGCCCTAAAATTGTGTTTTCTTGTGCAAACCAGCAACCTATTTGAACAGAAATTTGAGAGAACGGTAGAAATATTTTAAAGTAAATTTTTTATTTGCTGTTTGAACATGTTACTATTTAGAATGTAGTATTATTGACAAATCATAGTGGTAGGCACAACTGTCCAAGGTGCATTTCATGATCTTCCAAAGTGCTCTAATCCCCCTACCCTCCTTCCCTCATTTCCCCTAGGAGAGGTGAAGATGACAAGTCTCCAGATAAAGGATCTTAACCTGTAACTTGGGGCCTTGGCTATGGTGACACTTGACTATTTGGTTGCCTGTCAGCTTGGCCTGGTCTCTGTTGAATCTCTTAAAAATAAAAAGTAACTCTGTAATCTGCATCATGTGATTTGCCTTTTGAAGACAGGAAATGAGAGCAGAGCTGTTGTTAGGTACATCAAACAGGAAATCCTATTTTCAAGCTGAATTATAATTAAACTGTACATTAACTTAATGCCTATAGACTTTATCACAATTGGAAACTTGAAATTTTATTGTTGCTCTCCCCTCCCCTTCCCATTAACACAGTTTTACCAGATTAGTCTGCTTATGTCAAATGCCAAATCTGTCTGTAATAAAAAATATATCAGTGTCAACTCTGTCAGGAGGGATACAAAAGAAGTACAAAATGGGGATTCTGAGAGGCTTACAGTCTATCAGACAAGACAGTTACTCATCTGATGTGAATCAGTTCCAAGTATTACATTGTGAGAAATTAAATGCACTAAAAGTTTCCCTGAGAGATCTGTGAGGGGGTGGAATTGTTGGAGGAAGTAGAACTTAGGCTGAGCTGTGAAGGATGAAATGAGTTTTTAAATTATTATTGATGTCTGTTTTTCGTATTACTTTCATTTCCAGGTATCTTTCCCTCTCCCTTACCTAGAGAGTCATCCCTTATAACAGAGAGTAGGAGCTAAGGAAGAGCTAAAGGTGTGGAGAAGAGTAATTCTAATGCCTTCCCTCTGATGATTATTTCATACAGTTTATCCTGTATATATCTTTTTTGCATATTGTCTCCCATTAGATTCTGAACTTCTCGACCACAGGGACTGTCTTTTGCATTTCTTTGTATCCTTAGGACTTAGCATGGTGCCTGGCAATAGTAGGTGCTTAATAAATAGTTATTGACTTACTATTAGGGAATAGGAGAAGGGAACAAGCATTTATTAAGTATATATTATGTGGCAGACACTGTGCTAAGTGCTTTGCAAATATTATCTCATTTTGTCCTCAGAACAATCTTGTGAGGTAGGTGCTATTATTATCCCTATTTTATAGTTGAGGAAATTGAGGCAGGCGCTTTGCTGAGGTCACACAGTTAGTAAGTGCCTAAGGTTGAATTTGAATTCAGGTCTTCCTGACTCCAAGCCAATTGCTCAATCCATGGTATTGCCTATAAGAATAAAGGTGCTGAGTTAAGAATGAATTTGGTTTTGTGGGGCATATGAGAATACCTTCTTGATCCAGGAGAAAGATAGGAAAGATGAGCGTAGGTTATGGAAGCATTGAAAGAAAAGCAGAAGAGTTTGGTAGCTGAGATTTGAGAAGAGGCATGATACAATGAAAGTGATGTTTAGGAATATTGTTGGTCTGGTAGCAGCATAAAAGATTATTTAGAGGTGACAGAGACTAGAGGTAATATAAATCTCTGATAGAATTTAGGTGTCAGGTGTTAAGGGCCTCGATTAAACTGGTAACATTGGAAAGGAAATACTTAACTCAAAAGACATTTTGAAGGAAGAAAAATAGGACTTTGTGACAAATTATATAGAAGGGATTTAGGAGAAGGCAGAATGAAAGGTGACACCGGGATTTCTCGCCTGAAGAAAAGACAGTGATACACTTCTGCTCCAAATAGAGGAGATGGAAAGAGGAAATAATAAATTGGACCAATTTTTCCGGGTCCTTAGCATGAAATACTTGCTTTTATTAAGTTGCTATTTGAAAAATTGTATATAATACCTTTTTTCATACAAAAGATAGTTAAAATTTATTTTTAGTTAATTTTTCCAATCTGTAATTACTGAAGAGTCAATTAACAAGCATTTATTAAGGAATCCTCTGTGCTAGGTACAAAACCTATGAGGTGTAGGTACTGTGGTAGACACTAGAGATAGAAATAGAAAAAAAAAAAACACAAAAAAATAGCAGTCCCTGCACTCGAGGAGTTTACATTGTATCCAAAGAGGTGACATTTGGATATATATAGAATAAATACAGGGTATTCCAAAAGTCTTAGTGCAGTTTTAAGCCTGGGACACCCTATCCAGTGTACTTTAGGCAGAAGGGGCACTAGCTAATGGGAGGGGGGGCAGGTGTTAGGAAGGGCTTCATGTAGAAGGAAATGTTTGAACTTAATCTTAAAGGAAGGGATTTTATGAGTCAGAGGTGAAGAGGGATTGAATTCCAAGAATGGGGAATGAAAGGGATGGAGATGGAGTGCTGTGTGGGAGGGACAAGAAGACCAGTCTAACTGGACCCTAGAGTGCAAGAAGGGGAAGTAGTTGCGAAGTATTTGTATTTTATCCGAAAGCAGAAGTTCTTAACCTGGGGTCTCTGCCTGCTACATACATATTGTGATAACTATGTTTCAGTATAATTTTTGTTTACAATCATTATAATAAAAAGATAATACTGAAGGTATCCATAAAATAAAAAAGGTTAAGAACCCTTGCCCCAGGGGCACTTGAGAACCATTGGAGTTTATTAAATAGACAAGACCTGTGTACTTGAAGAACAGCTCTTTTGCAGCTC